ATCCATCCCCCTATGACCCACCTAATATACACCCTCTACCTCCCTGAACACTACAGGCAATTTAGCATGGCCAATCCGCTTAACCTGCACATCTTTGGACCGTGGGAGGAAACCGGAGCACCCGGAGAAATCCACGCAGACACGGGGAGAATGTGCAAACTCCACACAGGCAGTCGCCCGAGGCTGGAATTGAACCCAGGTCCCTGGTGCTGTGAGGCAGTAGTGCTAACCACTGTGCCACCGTGTCGCCCGTCAGCCTGTCTGCTCCTATGATGCTGCTTGGCCTGCTGTGTTCATCCAGCTCTGCACCTTGTTGTCTCGGATTCTCCAGCATCTGCAGTTCCTACTACCGCTTATTCCTACTGTTTCCTGTCAATCGATTCTTGACCTATGTCAATACCTTACCACTCTCAACCCTGAGCACACTGCATCCCAATCTGCTCCTATGATGCTGCTTGGCCTGCTGTGTTCATCCAGGCCTGCACCTTGTTGTCTCGGATTCTCCAGCATCTGCAGTTCCTACTATCTCTCACCCACAGGTTCTCTGTCCGTTCAAACAGCAAGAATTTTGCCTGTCAATTCTGTGAGGCAGCCTACAGAAGTGGCAGGTTTTCTGGAAAGCATAAGAGATGACTGTGCCGAAGGAAGATGTAAAGTTTAGCATGTATCCCATATTACGTCACATGAAGCAGCCAAGCTGCACTCGTTTCCCGTACAGAGGTGAACCATCAGATCAGCTGTTATGCGTTTTGAAGAAGGAGCGAAATTAAAGTCATACACTCATTGGATCGGTTCCAAAAGACATACATTTCAAAATCACATTTGTTAACAGTTCAAGTTACCAGTCAAAATAATACTACTACTTTTAGTAAATGTTTTCATTTCCTGTCACGGACTGAGGTGGCTCAAAGTGGTGTTGACAACTCAATTTCTTACATACCGTGAATCTTATCATGAATTATCTGCTTATGTTACACGGGCTGCCCCAGGGCTTTGAACAAAGGGAAAGATGCTGTGCCTGAGATAAGAGGTGAAACAATTTTTCTTTGTAAAGGCATTGTAAGTAAACCTGCGTCTGAATATCAGGGACGATGAAATGTGTTGCACTCCACTTGCCAGCTGTTACGGTTCAATGAAAGTACCAGTTTGCATTGCCTCGGCACAAGACTGATTTGAGGGTTGGCCATAAAGCTGGCCCCGCACAATGCAGCCACAGCAGACAATGGGTAGGGTAACAGCAAGAAGTCAAGTGTATGGCAGTCTGTGTTTATTCTGTGGCTTGAAGTTAAACAAAGATGCTTACTGTTAGGAACTGTCAGTTTTCCCGTTTCATGTTCTGCTTCATATGCCACAACCAGTCGGTCACACTAGCAATCCTGAGAAGGGAGATAAAATGAAGATTTAGTATTGTGAGGGTAACTTGATTAATCACTGACTAGGAGCAAATATACACTTATTATTAAAGAAATACCTATAGGAACGAGTGCAATGACCGAAAAAAAAATGTTTAGCACTCGTTAAGAGCCTCAATATATTTTAACCGTTCTTTTTTGATATCCTCGTTTGTAGGCTCCTTCAATCTACATTTAAAATAGGAAGAGAATGCACTGGGATGACAGCTTCCAAGGCATGTCCCTGTGAGAATCTGTGCTCTTGCTCCAGTCAGTTTTCAAACCTGTCCAGAATCTTTAAATTGATACTTTTTTTTTCACTGCTGTCCACTACTTGTTCAAAGAAAACACATGGTACAATCACACTTGTCAACAATGTTAAGAAAGGGAATATGTTTGAGGGATTCTCTTGGCTTATGTCCCCCACCACGTTTCACAGCTGAGCAGCTGCCATGGTTGAGTACACAAAGGATGTCCATAAATTGGATTATTTAAAAGACAAATTGATCGCCCCTCAAAAAACAAATTACCTGAAACTTATCTCGGGGTAAGTACTCATCATTCCCAGTGCTTACTCCTACTCCAAAGTTCTCCTTTAATACAGTTCTCACAATCTACTTAGCACTTAATCATTCAGTCAAAAATGCCTTCATGCCATCTGAGAATACTTACTCACTGGCTGGATTCCACCCCCTTTTCTCAATCTCTTTTCAGCATCACCTGTGATGTATTAGGCATTCACACAAACTAAAGAGTCAGTGTCAAAATATGTAGTTTACATTTTTTAGTCTTTTATCAGTAATTACGTGCATAAGTTCAGAGTTGCCTGTTTATTGCACAAAAACAAATAAAATATTACAGTAACTGAATGTATCATTGTGTCTGTGTGTTAAGACACCCCTATTGATGTTATCCAGACTCAGCCATTCTAATCTAAATCCTGCGTCACTTTTGATCATTATTTTTCTCCACTGAGCTGGGTCTTTTATCACTGATAAAACTCCTCTGGGTTACATCAATTACATGCCTACTGACTTCCCAGTACTTCTTGCCTTTTCCTCATGGAATAATAGCCATATGTGCATGCACATATTTGTATACAATCTGGGTATTTACTTGGAAAGGGAATATTTCTCAGACTATGTGACAAAGTGCAGCAGAATTACTGAATTGTTATGGAGCAGAAGGACCCCATTTGGTCCATCATGCTTGCATGTGTTCTCTGAACATGTTGACTTTTAGCCAATCTCCTGCCTTTTCCCTGTAACCCTGCACATTGCTTCCATTTAAATAATCATTTAATGGCCTCTTGAATGCCTCAATTGAATCAGCCTCCACAACACTTCCATGCAATCTACTCCAGACTTTTAATTACTTGCTGTGTGAAAAAGTTTTTCTCATCTTGCAATTTTTGCATTCGCAAATTACTTTAAATCTGTGCTGTCTGGTTCTTAATCCTTTGATAAGTGAAAACAGTTTCTCCCTATTCACTCTGTCCAGATCCCTTGTGATTTTCAACAGTTCTGTCAGATCTCCACTTAGCCCTCTCCTCTCCAAGGAAAACCATTCCAAGTTCTTCAGTCTATCCTCATAACTGAAATCTCTCATCCTGGATCAATTGTTGTAAACTTTTTTAGCATTCTATCCAAAGCATTCACATTGTCTTGTAGAACTGCATACAATACTCCAGCTGAGCTGTAGGTAATGCTCTACGTAAATTCAGCATAACCTTTTGAACTATATGCCCTTATTTAATAAGCCTAAAATGCAGTATGTTTTATTAACTGCTGTCTCTGGCAGTTCACTCCATACATGCACCACCCTCTGCATGAAAAAGTTACCCCTCAGGTCCCTTTAGTTTTGAACTCCCCTACCCTGGGGAGAAGACTTGGCTATTCACCCTATCCATGTCCCTCATGATTTTATAAATTTCTAAAAGGTCACCCCTCAGCCCCCAACACTCCAAGGAAATAGCCCCAGTCTATCCTTCACTACCATTGCAGTATGCTGCCAGGTGTGCTTTGCAGTATCCTGAGTATTCAGCCATGTCTTGATATCATCCAGAGTGAATTGAATTGGATGAAATTTGGTGTCTGTGATGCTGGGAACCTCTGGAGGAGATGGATCATCCACTCGCATTTTAACTGAAGATGGATGCAATTGCTTCAGCCTTGTCTTTTTAGTGAAATGCTGGGTTCTTGCATCATTGGGAATAGGGATAACTTTAGAGGCTTTTTCTCCTGGTAGCTGTTTAATTGTTAACAATCATTCATGATTGGATGTGGGAGGCCTGCAGAGCTTAGATCCGATCCATTGGTTTTGAGATTATTTAACTCTGTCTATTTCAAACTGCTTCCATTGTTTGACATGAGAGTATTCATGTGTTGCTGACTCACATGGTTGACACCTCACTTTTACATATGCCAGGTGCTGCTCTTGGCATGCCCCCCTGCACTCAGGGATTAAACTGGAGTTCATCTCCTAGCTTGATGGGGGTAATAACTTTTTTTAATTCATTTGTGGGATGTGGGTTTCGCTGGCTGGCCAGCATTTCTTGCCCATCCCTAGTTGCCCTTGAGAAGGTGGTGGTGAGCTGCCTTCTTGAACCCCTGCAGTCCACCTGCTGTAGGTTGACCCAAAATGCTATTAGGGAGGGAATCCCAGGATTTTGACCCAATGACAGTGAAGGAACGGCAATATATTTCCAAGTCAGGATGGTGAGTGACTTGGAGAGGAACTTGGAGGTGATAGTGTTCCCATATATCTGCTGCCCTTGTCCTTCTAGATGGAAGTGGTTGTGGGTTTGGAAGGTGCTGTCTGAGGATCTTTAGTGAATTTCTGCAGTGCATCTTGTAGATAGTACACACTGCTGCTACTGAGCATCGGTGGTGGAGGGAGTGAATGCTTGTAGATGTAGTGCCAATCAAGCGGGGTACTTTGTCCTGGATGGTGTCAAGCTTCTTGAGTGTTGTTGGGGCTGCACTCATCCAGGCAAGTGGGGAGTATTCCATCACACTCCTGACTTGTGCCTTGTAAATGGTGGACAGGCTTTGGGGAGTCAGGAGATGAGTTACTCCCTGCAGTATTCCCAGCTTCTGGCCTGCTCTTGTAGCCACTCTGTTAATGTGGTGAGTCCAGTGAGTTTCTGGTCAATGGTAACCCCCAGGATGTAGATAGTGGGGGATTCAGTGATGGTAACACCATTGAATGTCAAGGGCCGGTAGTTAGATTATCTCTTATTGGTGATGGTAAAAAGCCTGGCATTTGTGTGGCACAAATGTCATTTGCCACTTGTCAGCCCAAGCCTGGATATTGTCCAGATCTTGTTGCATGTGAACATGGACTGCTTCAGTATCTGAGGAGTCACGAATGGTGCTGAACACTGTGCAATCATCGGCGAACATCCCCATCTCTGACCTTATGATGGAGGGAGGATCATTGATGAAGCAGCTGAAGATGGTTGGGCCTAGGAGACTACCCTGAGGAACTCCTGCAGAGATGTCCTGGAGCTGAGGTGATTGACCTTCCCCAACCATGACCATCTTCCTATGTGTCAGGTATGGCTCCAACCACCAGAGTGTTTGTCCCCTGATACCCATTGATTCCAGTTTTGCCAGGGCTCCTTGATGCCACACTCAGTTGAATGCAGCCTTGATATCAAGGGCTGTCACTCTCACCTCACCTCTGGAATTCAGCTCTTTTGTCTATGTTTGAACCAAGGCTGTAATGAGACCAGGAGCTGAGTGGCCCTGGCAGAACCCAAACTGGGCGTCACTGAGCAGGATATTGCTGAGCAGGTGCTGCTTGATTGTTGATGACACTATCCATCACTTTCCTGATGAACGAGGGGAGACTGATGGGGCGGGTTGAATTTGTCTTGCGTTTTGTGCACAGGACATACTTGGGCAATTTTCCACTTTGTCGGGTAGATACCAGTGTTGTAACTGTACTGGAACAGCTTGGCTAGGGGAGCGGCAAGTTCTGGAGCACAAGTCTTCAGTACTATTGCCGGAATGTTGTCAGGGCCGGGAGCCTTTGCAGTATCCAGTGTCTCCAGCCATTTCTTGATATCACGTGGTGTGAATCGAATTGGCTGAAGACTGGTATCTGTAATGCTGGGGACCACTGGAGGAGGCTGAGATTGATCATCCACTTGGGGATATGATAACAGTTATTATATATAATAGAGTTGGAGCTAAGCTGGATCGTGAATTTAGAGATTTCAGTTGAATACATTTCTGCTGATGATGATGGCCTAGAATGCCTAATCACTGCCAAGTCTTGAGTTGCTAGATCTGTTCAAAGTCTGGCCCATTTAGCACTGTAGTATTCTCACACAACACATGAAGGTTATCCCCAGTGTGAAGATGGGACTGTGTCTCCATAATGTCTTGGCAGTTGTCACTCTTAGCAATATTGGCATAGACAGACACATCTGCAGCAGGTAAATTGGTGAGGAGGAGGTTAAGCAGGTTTTTCCCTCTTAACAGTTGGCTCACCACCTACTGCAGACACAATCTAACAGCAATGTCCTTTAGGACTCAGATAGTTTGGTTCAACAAAGGCACTCTTGGGAATAGACCTTGAAATCCCCCACCCATTAACACCCCAGAGCTGTCTTCAGATGGTAGTTCAGTGTGACGTACTGATTCATCAGCTGAGGTGGGGAGGGGTGGTGGGAATGATGCAGTAGGTGATGATGGATTAGAATCCCAAAGTATTTATAGACAGCTTTTACTTTTAATTCTGAAATGTGTTGTTTTTAAAAGGGGGATTTGTACAGAAAAAGAAAATGTGCAGATTTATCTTCAGTGACGGTTGGGCAAAGTCCAGTGCGAGACAATGAAATGCCTCGCTTGTAAATTGTTTGGCAAATCTCAAACAGAGAATGACTTAACTACAAATATAATGAAGTGCTGATGACTTCCTGATCAACAGCAAAGGATTGCACAGAGGACAGATTAAACAATTCTCTGCAATTCCAATACTTTAATTACAGCTTTAATTACTCAATAGACGAAATGTGTTCTGTTGACATGTATTCTGTTGGGTAGTTCTATGTCAGTCTTTACAAAATGAGAACAGACCCAAACATATTATAAAATCTGGGTTAGGCTCTTGTGGTGCAGTGGTAGTATTCCTGTCTCTGGGCAAAAAGGGCGTGGTTAGCTCAGATGGCTAGTGAAATAACTGCACAGAGGCCAGTATCCCATCACCAAGTCACCCTTTATTTACTTGTGCACAGTATACTGGCTGTGGCCAGCCAGCTTGGAGTCAGCCCCCTGAACTGGGAAGATTATAATCTCCTGTTGATATTGGTCAGCCAGTGCCTCCTGATTGGCCCATGTTAACAACCCCAATCAAGGACCTTGTAGTCAATGAGGTCCACCTGGTTCCAATCACTACAGCAAGATAGATGGTTTGTGATG